TAATTATTATTAAGTAACATGTTTTGTATTTTTAGGTAGAATAAAATTAGAATATTCTTAAATAAAACGATTAACACTACAAAAATTTCAAATTTAATTTTACGAAAATATTAGGCTAATTCCTAATATTTTGCTAATACTTACCATGTACCTACCTAACTCAAATATAAAATAAATTTGGATTGCTTAAGTAATATTGTTTCAGTATATTTTCAACTTTAAGCACTTATAACACTGTCTTGATATTTGATATTAATTTTTTATAATATTTTTAATGAAGCATAACATCTTATGTTAAATTCGAGTTTTGACCGTTTTGGGATTATTAAATAACTGCATGTAGTTAAATAACAAACAGCCACTCTTTCATTAACGAATCCGGGCATARAAGATAATAAATATTTTACTTTCAAAAGAAAAGTTCCATGTGCTCCCTGCTGGGAGTATTGCTTCGTCGCCCGTTTCAATTAAACCTTTGACAGATGGATCTTTATGTCCACACGGAAAATGCTTAATTTGGTTAGGTAGGTAGGTATATCGTATATGTAGGTATATAAAATAATATAGTTYTGAACAGACATTAATAATTATATTGTTATGGAATTATATTATGTGGGCACCTACGCTATTGATAATTTGTATTAAATTCTTAGTGGAACAATGAAGGTTCACAATGGTTTACAATTATTAGTTTTACAATATTATGAGGTTTTTATTGTTTTTTTTTGTCTGAATGATGTTTTTTATAGTAGAAAAAATGCTTTGATCTTCAACTTCAATGAGTGGTTTCTTGTAGCAAATTGAATCTAATTGGTATTTTGGGGTTCAAAAGTTAAAAAAAAATTCTGTTACTTTTACTAATAATCGGCAATATTTATGCAACATCAATTTTTGACAAAATCGATTCCATTATTTTGTTGTAATTCAACATATACAAACAAAGTCATATTTTATAGATGTTTGGAATTTTCATCAAATATTTATACTATTATTTTCTAGCTATTTGTACAATTTTCAAAATATTTTGCATTTTTGTAACTTAACTCTATACATATAATAAAGTGTTATATTATAATATATGYTGTAATAGAAATTCAAATTTTCAAATTTTTATAAATAATTTTCTACAAATGTATGCTGAGCCAAAAAGCTTTAAAACTGAATGCAGGAGGTTTATCATAAAATGTTTTGTATGCAAAATGTCTTTACATTGGAATTTGAAGTTCCAATTATTACAAAATTAGGCATCTATTAAAAATTAATAATTTTAATAATTTTGTTGTAATTCAAAAAATATAAATTGTAGGGACTTGATAATTTTTGCCATTAACGTGTGTTATTATTTACTATACATGATGATATCTTCAAAATAATTTAAGATAAATTAAAAAGTAAAATATTTAAATGCAAGTTAAGCAAACATATTGTAATCGTTAATAGGTATACATTATAAATTTGTTTTTTATCCATTATTTATTAAGTGGCCACCATCAACACATTCATGTGTTTTCTTTGTCTTACAAGATTGGTTTGTAACTACGAGTTACGACTTAAGAAAATTGTAAGTACAGAGTAATCCATTTTACTTTGTTATTTTTAAAACTTGAGTGTGAGGTATTTTAAAATTTAAAGATAATATTATTACCCATTAATGAAATATCGAGGCTTTTTATAGATCCTTTAATCAAAATTAAGTTATGAGCATTATAAAACTGTACATTTTTTGTATATTTTATATGATCTTAACTAGCATAAAAATTATAATATCAATAAAAGTCTTCGAGATTCTCTAAATAATAGAGATTTTATCTTTAAACTTTATATTAGGTCAGTTTAGTCTCATTTAAAAAATAACAAATTTTTAATCAATATGGATTATTGTTAACGTTAAGTTTGCCATCATATTGTAGGTTTGTATGACAAAG